TTCTGATTTATGAACCAGAAATCGATATGCTTTACTATTAGTCGCATATCCTATGAAAACACAATCAACGGTTTTCGGTCCTATTTTTACCCTTTTAGGTTTAGGAACTTGTACTTTTGCAAAACACCCCCACACTTCAAATAATTCAAGTTGGGCTTCCTTCCTTTCTATTTTTCATATGGAATGGATTATGTTTTGCTATGGGGCACTCGATTTAATATTCGATTAGCCGTAAGAACGGTTTCCCCCCACAAATTCTATGGTAAACCAAAACTTATCANATGTACTTTCTTTTGTTTCTTCCCGAGGTCGTTTAGATCCTTCACCAAACGACTCACATTCCTTTTTATACGGATATATATTTTCAAAGAACTCAGCATTATCTGATTCTATAACCGTATTATTATGAATGTCGGGATTTTCTGATTTATGAACCAGAAATCGATATGCTTTACTATTAGTCGCATATCCTATGAAAACACAATCAACGGTTTTCGGTCCTATTTTTACCCTCTTAGGTTTAGGAACTTGTACTTTTGCAAAACACCCCCACACTTCAAATAATTCAAGTTGGGCTTCCTTCCTTTCTATTTTTCATATGGAATGGATTATGTTTTGCTATGGGGCACTCGATTTAATATTCGATTAGCCGTAAGAACGGTTTCCCCCCACAAATTCTATGGTAAACCAAAACTTATCAACAACAAGTTCATCATCTCCTTTAATGTATGATTATTTCTTTCCGCAATCCCATTGAATTGGGGCGTGTAAGGAGCCATTGTTTGATGAATAATTCCATATTCGAAATATGTTTCTTCAAAAGGAGATTCATATTCACCACCTCTATCACTTCTTATCATTTTGATTTTCTTGTTAAGTTGCGTTTCAACTTCATTTTTGTATTGCTTTAATGCATCAATTACTTCATCTTTACTATTAAGTAAGTAAACATAGTACTATCGAGTAATATCGTCAATAAAGGTTATGAAATACTTCTTTCCACCTCGAGATGATATTGACTTCATGTTACAAATATCTGTGTGAATTAAGTCTAAAGGATTTGATTTCCTTTCAACTAACTTATAAGGATGTTTAACATACTTAGATTCCACACATACTTGACAATTTGATTTGTCGCATTCATACTCAGGAAATACTTCCAAATTAATCATTTTTCGTAAGGTTTTATAATTGACATGACCCAAATGTATATGCCATAATTCATTTGACTCAAGTAAGTAAGACGAAACTGAATTTTTATTATTATTTTCAACAACCATTAAATTCAGCTTGAAAAAGCCCTCGGTGAGGTAACCTTTTCTTACAAACATCTCGTTCTTACTTATTACAACCTTATCGGATGTAAATACACATTTAAAACCATTCTTAACAAGAATTCCAGCAGAGACTAAATTCTTCCTAATCTTGGGAACATGAAGGACGTTGTTCAAAGTCACCACTTTGCCGGAAGTCATTTTGAGAAATATCTTCCCACATCCTTCAATCTTGGCCTTTGCAGCATTTTCCATAGAAAGCGTCTCATCGGGTCCAATAGGAGTATAAGTAGCAAAAGCTTCTCTAACAGTACAAACATGACGAGTGGCTCCAGAATCAATCCACCACTTTAGGATTGCCCACCAAGTTGCATTCGGAAAGCATGACACACAAGTCATCAACATCATTATGCTTTTCAACCATGTTTGCTTGACCCTTCTTCTTGTCTTTCTTCGGAGCACGACACTCAGTAGATTTGTGTCCGGCTTTTTCACAGTTGTAGCAATTAACACTGAACCACTTCTTGCTTGGGTTGTGTCCGGAAAATTTTTCGGGTTTCTCCGCCGGTGCCAATGCTGCCGGTGTTGTTCGGCTCGTTGAGGCATTGGCAGTTACCATTGAAACAGCTTGGTTTCCGTTGTCATTCGTCATTTATGTAAAAGAATGACACAAACGTTAAAATCACGTAGATTTTAATCTCCAATAGAGTACAAAACCACAAAGGTTTTACTCTCCAGAAATAGTGAGTATAATACAAATACATAAAATATATTAAATTCCTTAAGCTTGTTAGAAAGCTGTATTTGTAAACTAATTCGGGAAAAATAAAACAGAATAATATATAAACAGAAAATGTAAAGAAACAAAAATCAATTCGAATCCACTGAATTCACAGTGTTTCCTTAAGGAATTTAATCCCCTCATAGTACCCAAGGTTATGGATTATTTCCTCCCAGGATAGACCGAATTACACACTGGTGTAGTGGTACTTTAAAACTCAATGTTTCAGCGAACACAAAATTCGGTAGCAAATCACACTTACTGTTGCTTTGTTTGATGTTAAAAGTATGCAGAAGGAGGAGAAACATAGAAAATCGTATGAAAATTTTGAGCAGAATAGACTTGTTTTATAGCCAAAGTTGGGCTAAAATCTGAAGAGGTGCAACTCTTCAGAATGGCTGTTTCTGCGAAATGGCCATAGCATAAATATCGTAACATAAATGGCTATTTAATCAACAATAAAGAGGGAAAATAATGAGGAAAAATTGAAAAGGATAGTTTAATTTTCAGTTACACAACTGAAAAACGGATTAGATTTAATATTAATATTTATTTAATATTAATATTCTGTTATTAAGACAATATTTAATAACATTTCTGTTAATATTTTACTATTAACAAATAAATTTGGTTCAAAAAATTAATCAATCAATCATTTGACCGAAGTCGAAGCCGAGCGACGACGACGGTGCGAGGCTTGCCTTCTTCTCAACTCTTTAAGAGCTAGAAGAAGAGCAATTACTTATATATCCATAAAAAAAAACCTTCCTCTTCCAATATAGGACAATGTCCCTTTGCCAAGGGAGGAAACTTAAAATTTCACTTAAAATTTTCATTTCCCTCCATTTCTCATTCACCCTAATTTAAGCATACCATATACTTAAAATCCCAACAAGTTCTGCTAATGGGTTCGGTAGAATCTAGTAGTTTTGACTCTATTTATGTATTTGTATTGAATATTCACTTAATATGTATAAGTAATTCATCAAGAACTCAATAAATAAACTATTTTTTTAGAATTCCAAACCCAAAATTCTAACTCCGCTTCTGCAGTACGAAACCGACTTTTCTTTATCACAGCTGCGGAACCGACTTTGATGCAGAAAATTCACTGTTCTCAAGAGCAAACCACAAGGATCGACACGACCCTCGTTTCCTAAAACTCTTTTCAGTAATAACCCAGTAGTTTAGCAGTTCCATGCAACGATTACTTTCTCATTTTAGTAATTCCATGCAGCCTCACTTGTCTATGTTCCCTTTAGCACTCGAATTAATGCCCATGCTTTCTTTTGGGAACTATTTTCCAGCTTCTTAGTTCCAACCAACCCTACCCTCCTAATTATAAGCTTCTTTTTTATTGGTTCCACTTATTGTCTCCTATTTATTTTGGGGTCTGACTATTCTGAATTTACTCCGCTTAAGGCCTATTAAAAAAGGACAATGCTTCTTAGCAGGAGTTTTTCCATTCCTTATAAGGCTCGGACCTGGAATCAGAAGTAAAGCTAAGATTTGAAGTTTATGGGTTGTACTCTTGCCATTGAACTCATAGTTCGTCTTAGTTACTGGATTCACAATTTAATGCTTATATACATTTAATGGATTTTTTAACAAAGATACAAGGTCTAAGCAAAAATCGCTGAATTTGTCCAAACCCGTTTCTAATGCTCTAGCTCCGCCCTGATGCCCCGAACATTGGTTAAGGATACCACTACAACTCTGCATGATCTAATTATTAGTTTCAATTGCAAGAAAATCAACTTACTGCAATTATCTTCCTTTATTTTAGTTTAGGTCTGGCTATGATTTTCAAAACATAGACAGTCCGTTATAAGCATACCAATCCCTAAAATTCGTAACTCTGCCATTACGATACAAATCAAACATCCTTCCCTTGCTTTTCTGTCCAAATTTTTATCCTACATTTTACCATAAAACCATAATTTATTTGTTCAAGGATCGGTACATCTTGCAACATTCATTTGATGAAAAACTTATCGAACAATACAGATTGTACAGAATTGAAAGAGAGGGCTCAGGTTAGAGTGTTTAGAATAGTCGTCTTTAAATCTAAGTAAACTATTAACATGATCGATCAACTATACACAACAAAACCTATTTAATGTGTACCCAAAGAAGGAAACGTACCCACAGTCTAGAAAGCTATAAAGCGAGTAAATTGTTGAGAAATTAAGAAAACCCTAGAGCAACGGGTGTCCGTAAAACTACACATTGTAGCTAGATAAATTTTTTATGTGTATATACTGTGAGCATGCGATTTTTGCCTATATGAATTATTCCTATAAAATCCAAGAAAATAGATTTTTTACAATTATTTGCCATTTTATAGGATTTTTTGTAGGATTTTATTAACTGTTTGCATTTTTTGTGCACGTTTAATTTTTATTAAAAATCATGAAAAATGTCACAAATGCCATGCATTGCATTAGATTTTGTTTTTACATTTTTAGGTTTAATTAGTTAATTATTTGTTTATTAAAAAATAAAAATCACAAAAATCGCTCATTTTACATTTTTACCTTTTAATTTTTAGATTATTGATTTTTATCTTTTAATTTAGGATCAAGTAATTTTTAAATTTTTTTAATTAGATAATTAATCTAATTTTATAATTTAGATTAATTTAGAATGTTAATTTGGGATTTCTAATTAAAGGAAAAGAAAAAGGGAAACAAATGAAAAAGGAAATAAGAGGAGAATTGGAATGAAAGGAATTTTTAATTTAAATTTGGGCTGTTGTAAATACCCCTAATCGGCCCAAACTTTCCCCCCAATTCAATCCAAACCCAGGCCCAAAGATCCCACCCGGTCAGCCTCCTTTTACCCCAAAACGACGTAGTTGCGTGGAAAAACTACGCCGTTTTGATGTCCTCGCCCCATTAAACGACCAAATTCCCATTTGCTATCATTAATTCGATGCATTTCACTATAATTAAACCTAGCCTCATCTCCCTCAGAAACCTCCGCCTCACTCCATCATCCCCTCATCCATATCCCGCCATTATTTTCTCCAAAAAATCACTCAATTTCTCCGAATTTGAGATCCAAAAATAAAAATTCAAGCTTTTTACCTTTTGTCCAAATTTTCTTGATTTGGTCCTCAATCCGTGATAAAACCCCCATAAATCTCCCATTTTTTCAATAAAGAGAGCCGTTTTAATCTTGAGTTTGTCCTATCTCATAGATTGGCTAGATTTCGGGGCAAATAACCTGTTCATGACTCAAATCCTCTGAGCCTTTGCCTCATCCGATCTTTGGCATGTGGTGAGGATTATTGCATGAATCACTGGCCATGGACAAGAGTCCGACCAGTGTTCATGTTATAATTCTCGCCATTGGCCGAGATTTTTTTCGTTCGAGTTCGAATAAAGATCTTGTTGTTCTTCTCAAAGGCATTAAAGTTTTGTTGATTCCACCGGTATATTTCTCCTCCCGTTTGTTTTTCTTCATAACTTCTATTGTGGGTTCATTTCTGTCTAAAAAAAATTAATTATTATTTTTTCTAAGGCATAATTGACCAATCGGTGATTAATGTCTCAATAATTAGGTTTAATTACCGTCATAATGTATATTTTTTTAAAAGATGCATCATTAGCCTTTGTTTAATTAAATATTGGTTTATTTCTGCATAAGTTCGTTTGGTTTTGGGTTGGGGTTCATACTTGGTTTCTGTTAGTACGAAAGCCCAAGTAAATATTGGGCTTAAAGGTGTAAATGGTCCAAGTCCAGTACCATTTGGTTTAAACTTCAAAACAGTAAAAATAAAAAGGGCAAATACAGGGGTACTGGGGATTGAATTAGATAGGGTCTGAGGGAAGCTTCTATAAAAAGGGCTGACAAGGAAAATCCTTGGC